TAATATTTAAAAAAGATTTAAAATTATTTATTAGTTATATAGACGCGAATTAGATAAATAATTAAAATATTTAATATTTTATTTCTAATTATATCTTTAATATAAATAATATTATTATTAATTAATTATTAAAATAATAATTTATTATAGCGCTATTCTTTTATAAAATTAAATATATTAATTAGATATAAATTATTAAGAAGATAATTTAATTATATAAATTTCTTAATTAATTTAATTTTAACACTAAATATATATAGACTATTATTATTTATTATAATTAGATAATTAAAATATTATAACTTTTATTAAAAAAAATTAATTTTATATATATATTAAGTATATTAATATTTAATATTATTATATATAAAAATAAGTTATTATTAATAATATTATTTTTAAATATATCTTTATCGAATAATAGATAGCTAATAAACTTATTAAGATATTATTTAAAAATAAATTTAAGAAATTTTATATATTAATTAAATTAAAATATCGTTTATAATATTACTTATTTAAAGAAATTAACTCTAACTTTAAAAGAGCGATTTTATTAGTTTTTATAATTTAAGTAATTTATTTAAATCGCTCGTTAAGCCTTAGATTTAATACTTTATAAACTCGCTATTTTATATTAAAATAGCTATTTCTTTAGCGCTATTACTACTATTACTATTAAATCTTTAAAACTCTTTTAAAATATTTTTATTTATACTATTATTATTATTAGCTATTATTATTAAAGAATTAAATATCTAGAATAACTTTATAAAAGTCTTATAGTCGATTATAATATATAAAATAAAAAATTTCTTCTAATTATTTTATTTAATTATCTTTATAAATATTCTTTAATCTCGAATTAATTAATTTTTAGTATATATTAGATAATCTAAAAATAAAATTTTCGAAAAACCGCTTTTTAATAAAAAGTAGAATTTAGAATTTAATATAGTCGTTTTTAGATTTCGACTTTTTACTTTAGCTATTTAATACTAAACTTACTTTAACTATCTAACTCTAACTTCACTTTAATTATCTAATATTAAATTTACTTTAATTATTTAGCTCGAACTTTATTTTAATTATTTAATATTAAACTTATATTAGCTATTTAACTCGAACTTTATTTTAATTATTTAATACTAAATTTATTTTAATTATTTAATATTAAATTTACTTTAATTATTTAGCTTAAACTTTACTTTAATTATTTAATATTAAATTTACTTTAACTATTTAGTTTCAACTTTACTTTAATTACTTAATATTAAAACTTACTTTAATTATCTAATTTAAATTTTATTTTAATTACTTAATATAAACTTTACTTTAATTATCTAATATTAAACTCTAGCGAAAGTTAATTAAATTATTTTTATCTTATTTATTCGATTTTAATACCGTTAATATTAAATTTTATATTTATTAAATTTCGCGTATAATCAGTATATATAAAAGAATAAGGTAGGGCTGAACTAGAAAACCTTGAATTTGTATGTGCAGCCAATCATCAATTCAGGGTCACTACGCCCTTTGGTTAGACCGGCTGAGTCAGCCCGGTAGCCCTCCCGCGCTTTCTCATCAAAAATTTGTATGTAGAAGTCTTACACTTTAAGGTACTCAGCTTGCGATAGATATAGTTACTTCATAATTCCTCAAATTGTAGAGCTCGCTTTGCGCTTTCTAACGCTGTAAAAATAATGAAGTTTGGCCTACTATTGGTGGATTAAATTGACATTCAAATATGATAATCACACCAGACGCGTCCGGGATCGGATAATAATCCTTCCACCTGTTTGTTTGTGTAACTATTCTTCTTTCACCATTCTACCAATTTACTAATATGAACATAATCATCCTCGATACCCCTCGCGGAAACGTTACTAAACGCTTCAGGCACGTACACCCCTTTTGCTCGCCTCTTAGAGCCCCTACTGACGCCCCCAGGCCACCCCTCGGCGAATCCGCTACTGCTGGCAATCGAGGCCGCAAGCTAACAGCTACCTACTACTGCTCATAAACGCGTTAGAAAACCCTCAAAAAGAGCCCGAACGGATTCACAGCCATCGTTCTCCCCTATATACTCCTCTTAAGTTAGCGGTAATACCTTCCAACCTAGCGATATTACCTTCTAAGACGCGTCTTTCTTTTTAATCCGTTCTTTATCACCCTATCCTCGCGGAAACGTTACTAAACGCTTCAGGCGTACCCCTTTTACCCGCCTCTTAGGCCCCTACTAACGCCCCCAGGCCCCCTCGGCGAATCCGCTACTGTTGGCAATCTACCTACTACTGCTCATAAACGCGTTAGAAAACCCTCAAAAGAGCCCGAACGGATTCACAGCCATCGTCCTCCCCTACATACTCGACCAGCCGCTCAATCAACACTACCTACCCTATCAGCTCAGTAATCCACTCAATTAGATCGTCAGCCAGTCACTCAGTCATCCACTCAGTCAGCCACTCAGCTAATCACTAAGTCTGATACTCTATAAGAGGAGGGCAAGAGGAGGAACTACAACAGGCAAATGCGGAGAACACTGCGGAGAAACCAAGCGGCAACAAGGCCACCATCGTCAAGAACACGGCTCAGCTCTCCAAGATCCCACGTCATATCAGTCATCCACTCAGTCTGATACTCTACAAGAGAAGGAGCAAGAGGAGGAACTACAACAGGCAAATGCGGAGAACACTGCGGAGAAACCAAGCGGCAACAAGGCCCCCAGCACCAAGAACACGGCTCAGCTCTCCAAGATCCCACGTCATATGCTCTCCACGGTTCCACATCAAATCATCACTCAGCAAGCGGAGAACACCACTGCAACTTAGCCTGTCATCCCCACTGCATTAAGGAGTAAGAGGAGGAACTACAACAGGCAAATGCGGAGAACACTGCGGAGAAACCAAGCGGCAACAAGGCCCCCAGCACCAAGAACACGGCTCAGCTCTCCAAGATCCCACGTCATATACTCTCCACGGTTCCACATCAAATCATCACTCAGCAAGCGGAGAACACCACTGCAACTTAGCCTGTCATCCCCACTACATTAAGGAGTAAGAGGAGGAACTACAACAGGCAAATGCGGAGAACACTGCGGAGAAACCAAGCGGCAACAAGGCCACCATCGTCAAGCACACGGCTCAGCTCTCCAAGATCCCACGTCATATGCTCTCCAATGCATATTTGAACGAATTGAAACCGTCCGATGTCTATAGCTATTTTATTATTCGAAAAATTTCACTGCGGCGGGAGATATTATAGGATTCACACCACTAATTAGCACGTTGTCTCCATTTCTTTCCGGTATTTCGATACTTCTTGCCATAAGAATATGGCCTTTTCTTTTTTTATGGGCAATTATTACGGATCAATCCTCCACACTCAATACACCTTCCTAATTAGGCCTTAGGCGCCTCTCTCCGCACATATATGCCTGTATATCACATAGATCAAATCAATTTTATCGTGGTGAAGTAGGTCAAAACGCATGCAAGCGATTGAGTTCGATTTAACTTAGGGCTGGGCTAAAATTCGATTTGACATAGAAAATCCAACCCATGAATTTAATTATGCCTTTACTTGAAGAATATATATAAAGAGAAGTATTAAAATTCGAATTATATAACTCTTAACGTTTTAGTAATTATGTGATATAGTTATATAATACGTCTTAGTATATTTATATCTAATCGCTCTTTTCTTTTATAGAACTCTCTAGTTAATATAACTAAGTATTCTATCTTATATTTTAATAGAATTATAGAAATATATAAAGTAACTAATATACGCGTTTTAAAGATAAAGATAAAGATTTCTTTAATATAAATTATTTTAAATAAAATAATTTTCAAAAATTAAATTATAAGAGAAATATATTTAATAATTAAAAAGAATAATTTTTATATTAGAAGAAAGATAAGAGAGAAGTAAAAATAAAAATATAAAATAAGAGAGATTTTAATAGAAAATTATAGAAATTATAGATTTTAAAGATTATAGAGCTCGCTAATTAAATTTTAATAATAAATATAAATTAATTTTAATATACTCGAAAGATATAAAAGTTAATAAGAGATTAAAAAATAAAAAATATATATTATATTAAGATTACTATTAATTAAAGATTTTTAAATAAATAAAAATATTAATATAACGAAGAGAATTAGAATCGAATTAAAGATTTCTCTATTAAAAATTAATTAAAGTTAAAAGTTTTACTCTTATTTAGATATATATAGTTTTTTTTTATATAAATAGAGTATTAGATATTACTTTAAGTAGCTATATATATAATTAAAAAAAATTAAATATATTCTAATATTTTATTTAAAATAAATAAATAAAAGATAAATCTTAATAAGAGAGATTAAGATTAGCGATATATTAAAAATTTATAATTAATATATATAAAAGAATAAGATAGAGCTAAATTAGAAAATCTTAAATTTATATATATAGTTAATTATAAATTTATTAGATTTATACTTTTTAATTAGATATTATAAATAAACGAATTAATATTTATAACTATTAAAAATCTCTTATTCTACTTTTAATCCTTTAATAACTTTATTATTATCTATTAAAATTTTTAGATTTTTTTTTAATTATAGAGCGTAGATTACGCTTTTAAATACTTTAAGAATTCTAAAATTTAATCTTATAATTATTAAAAGGCAAGGTACTTAAATATCGCTTCTTAAAGATTACTTATTAAATTTACTCGATAGCTCTAATTAAAAAAAAAATTATAAATTTAATTTATAGGCATTTACTCGTTAAGTATATAACGTTAAGTATTTTCTTAATAAAAAAAGGTATCTAAGTTCTATATATTTTCTTAATAGGTAAGGGTATACAAGTTCTATAAGGTAAGGGTAGATAAGTCCCGTAAGTATTTCCATAACATCAAACGCATATAGCAGGAACGGCACGCGTTTTTCTATTAGCAAGTTGCAGGGAATCAGATGCGTCCAAGGATTCCAATAATGCACCTACGCTCCAACTGTTTGTGGCGGTGGACGTGTGCCCTGTAGTTCGCCATCATCGCTGCTACTCGTATCGGGCATTTCGTCAAGTATCTTGTCCATTTCCGCGTTAGACAGTCGTCTCTTTCGGGGAGGACTTCGCAGATGTGGGGAATAGGATAGCCTAGGCTGTTCACGAGGACCACGAGCTGAATCGGGCATAGAAAAGCCCAGGCTATCTGTCTGATCGGCCTGGCGTTCGAAATGATTCCGCAGTGGGGTCCGAGCAAAGGCTCCAGGCGGGTGGTAACCAGAATTCCCCGGACTCGACATAAATAGCAAGGTCTCTACAGCGTCCTTTTCGACTTCGGCTTGCTGGCTTGGGGTTCGAATCTTGGACTGTCCTTTTGGTGGGGGGGTTATAGGCGCTGAGTTAGTACCAAGATTGTCCGTACGAAGCGGTGGAGGCTGCTTCTTCTTTGCGTCTGAGCGCCGTGGCGTGCGGACAACGATATTTGCCGATGGGGCCAACGAAGGGCCAACGGTAGGTGCCTCAACGGGTCGTGAGGCACCACTTGCTTCGTGGTCCCGCCAGAAGGACTCGTAGGCAGCGCCAACTTTGCTTGGGCGCGAAGTGGAGTCAAACGTTCCATGCTGTCGATGTTTAGAAATATGTTCAGCAGTGGTTGCGCTGTCTCGGGGCGAGGGATGCGCATAATCTGGAGTTGCTGCAGCCCGCTCGGAAAGCTGTATGGATGTCGGTGCATCTGCAGGAAAATAGGCTGGAAGATGACGATCGTACAACCGGTGCGCATTAGAGACTGTAGAAACGGGTGAAGCTTGATTTGATGTCATACTCTCGAGCTCGCTGATATTATGTGATTGCCAGCCATTCTGCACTTTGACCATGGCATACGACAAACGGGTTCGTAATTGATTCGACAACTAATGATTATTAGGTGTGTCTACATTAGTCGTTTTGCGAGAAATCACGGACCTCGCCAATCTGTGAATTTCGGGACGTCCCACTGCTATTTCTTGAATGCCCATACTGGCTTGACTCGACTGGACTAGCCGGTAGACTGGATTCTGAAGGCTTGACTTCTCCATTTGCCATGCGCTTCGGCGCGCTCGGGTGGACTTTGTCAAGTGCATTTTCTGTTACTAGCCCATCAATGTTCTCGTCTTGGTCCACGGAGGATACGTCAGGCTCCACTAGATAAAGTCTGTCAGTGTCTTCCTGGCTTGACTTATTCGATAACGAGGTCGAGCGGGTCATCGCGTTGTGAGGACTGATGATGTCGAGATCACCAGCTGCATTGGGCCGAAGTTGTGATTTATGGCAACTCAGAGAACCAGAGGATGCCTGGGAGGTTGGCGGAGATCGTGCATTCGTTACAAGGTTAGTGCGCCTGGTATGAGGCTCCTGCGATGCTTGCCCTGCATTCATATGAGTTGCCATTTTTGAGAGCATGTGCCGGTACTGCTGACCTTCATGCGGGCTGTGAGCCATGAACAGCGCGTAGACAGACGGGTTTTGACCGACACAGCACAGCAGTTTACCAGAGCTTATATGACACTTCTGATGATATCCAAACGCGCTGAGTAGATATCGACAGGTGTGAACGCACGGTAGCACATATGCCACGGATAGATCTGGACTAACGTGTAGAATGTCGCGAGCGTAGCAAGTCAAATATTCCGAGTACAAAGGCGCGTAAATGGAGTAATGGTGAAGGTGGGAGAGATATGTGCAACGATGAGTGGGTTGCGACTGCGGGCATATTTTCGCGCCTGGTGCGCCATCACGTGTATTTCACACATGAAACTCTACTTTGAATAAGTTAAGTGCACGAGTTGGACAAAATGGTAGCCAAGAAGGTAATCATTTGGCCAGGACGAATGATATAGATGACAGGTTATTGACCCCGAGAGTCTGTATTCCTGACGGACAGAGTCATCGAGCACAATATGGAGTACGCCTTAACTCCTCGCTAAAAGCATCCAGTATCACGAATATCATGCTTCATCTCTATCCTTTGCCACCCACACATGCCGATCGTCCAAAGTCCCGTACGTATGTGAGGTTGCTGAAGAATCTTCTTCCCTCCGACTATTGCTTTCATCCCATTGCTGGGCCTCCTCAGAATCTTCATGCATTTTACCTACATTACCTGGCTCATCATCGCCGTCACCGATTGCGAAGTCTGAGCCAGACGCTGGGTCGATTCTGCCCGGCTCGAAGCCTTCGCGCACGACTTCTCCTTCATTCTCGTCCTCGTAAGTTCGACTAAGGGAGCGTCAGACACTGTTCTTGTAATTTCAAGCCCGGACTTACATGTAGTGTTTGGTCTCATCCTCGTTCCATGCAGAACCCCCTTCTTTCCTAGCTCTGACGCGCTCAGTCTCCTCAGCTTCCGTGTCTTCGACCATTAGATCAATTAGCTGACTCCTACCCGACCTGGCGGAGTGAGATGATGAAGATTCTTCTCGGAGCATTCCATCCAAAAGTGGGGCTCGAGACCGCGATTTGGACTTGCCTTTATCAAGGTCCTTCTGAATGTTGCTGGCTCGTCGTTCTCGATTCGCCTTTGTTGGCTGCAAGAGATTTCTATTGGTCGACGTGGTAATGAGTCCAGGGTCGGCGCCGAGCCACCTGTCGGCGGCTGGCACATGAGCAGTTATGACCGGGTACTACGCTCTTTTCAGTAGCTGAGGGTTGTGACAAGATAGAGGGAGACAGCCTACATTCCAGTCTCCGAACTCCAAAGCTTTAGCGGTGGTAAAAAGCCTTTCGTCCTCTGCGTCAAGCTTCGCTTCATCAGCTTCATCGATTCCGGTATCTTCGTGTAGGTCTCTTCCACGCTTAGAAGTACTCATAGTCGCTGCTCGACTCGGTCCTCCGCTGCCACCAAGGAGAGGCGTTCTACTATTGATTTCTCCGGGTTTTGGTATCCAGTATTTGCCCTTGCCGCCTCTTTCATATCTCATTCCTTCCATCATTCGAGCAGTACGTGACTCCGACTCCTCGTGTGCAAGAACATTGTCTCCACTGTCAAATACCCTATACTCATAATGTCTGCCACCAAAAGTCTCTTTCGTGTCTTCAATCAGATCTCGTATACCAAAAGCGTCTCGCATGGCATATTTCACTGGCATACGGGCCGCAGAAATGGTGACATCCGCATAGTCTTGCCAAGAGAAAGCATACCAGTGAGCAACGGCGAAAAGAGGCATCTCGCAACAAATTAGAGCGTCCTGTATAGCAGCTGCGAGGTTGTCTGGCGTATATCCAGGAACATTGTTCGGTATTGCTCCCGCGAACTGTAGTATTGACAAGAAGAACCCTTGCCAGTAAGAGGCGAAGATTATCAACTTGATGCAGAGGAACTTGGGGACAGGTCTAAATGGTTGTAGGTCCTGCGACATGCAGACCCAGAACATCGCGAGTGAGTACAAACTCAGGGTGACGGAAACGTTGTACAGTATGCCACTCCACAGATACCCCGAAGTCAGTCCAATGTAGCCCTCCTGGTATGTACCGGTAGCTTTCATGACTATTGTCGCCAAACCCAATATAGGCTTTAGCCAAGCATACTGTAGGATGCCACGCTTGATTGCCAAAAATGTATGAGGATCAGAGATGTCCACTTTGGCAAGACAATGATTGAGTGGCCAGGGGTGATGAACAGGCTGCCTTCCATACATCATGATGATGAGAGAGCGTTCGCCTCCAAGAAAGTTGATGAGAAGTTGGAAGAATGTGTATATGGTGAATGCCTAAAGGCATTGGTTAGTCGAGTAATTTGAATCTTCAGGGTTTAGCAGCCAATACCTCGTATATGTCACGTAATGGATCCAGAAAAAAAGCGGCATCCTGAGACATTATACTGGCCCATGACGAGGCAGAGTATATGGGAACCCTGGCTCAAAGTGAGTTGCTAGCTCCGTTGCGAGACATATCCACGTACATCAGCAGAATGCGAATTACGTATCGTTGTAGCAATGGCTTCCTGTAGTTTTTCCTACGAACTTCATCAACACACGCATCGCTCTAAGATGTGTATCCACTACGAACGTTTGCAGCCATACTGATCTGGGAGAATGTTAGCTAAGCGATCTAGTCCGAGAGGAAACACAACAGAATCCGATGTGCTCAGACGTGTCATACAGGAAAGACAGCAACGAGGCAACAAGAGACGCGACTCCGCAGACAATCACAGTAGCCTTGGTCAACTTCGAGCCTGTGCCACCGCCGGATGCTCCGCCAGGCATTTCGAGGTCTCAACGACCAAAAGTTGAAGAATCGAAGCTGGCACGAGGACTCAACGGAAGCTTCGAGTTGGCGTGCACATCAAAAAGATTGGCAGCAATGATTCAATGACTATCAACCGTGTCTCCGTAGCTGGGATTCAGCGACCCTGGATGGTTGATTGAGAGCATGTTTAAGTTCACGTCAAATATCACATGCCTGAAGGCAGCCACTTTAGTGTTAGTTAGCGGTAGATTAAAGTACCCTTTAAAGTTTAAACAAGCTACACAAACCAGCGCTTTAAATAGCCCCGCCTCGGGGCTAGGCTAGGCTGAGGCGGGGCTAATCAGCCTAGCCTCAGCCCGAGGGCTCTGATTGGCTAGCCCGCCTCAGCCCCGACTTGCCGGGCCGGCTAACCCTACTTAGCCTTCTTTATTTTAATGGACCCATGTTTCTTTGTAGGAATGTAGAATTATGAATCCCTTCATCCTCTTCCTCCTCTACATCACACCGAGTCATTACCGGCAGCATGGGCTGGCAAGAGGTGGTTCTGAAGCTTCATTCTATGGGCCCATTCACGACTGCACCTCCCCCTTGCTCGCGTGCTGAGATCTGTCAATAAGACGTTTAATGAGGTGTTTCTGGCATGGTTCAGCCCTCCACGGACGCAATGTGCAGGGAGTACAGTCATAGAGCCTCGTTGCCACCAAATTTTTGCGGGGGGAGCCCGGTAGGGAGGTTCTGCTGAAAATTCCGTACCTACCTATGTAGTTTGCTGCGACGCTAGAGGTCTAGCGCTGCCAAGCCTGATTTTTAGTGGTCAGAAATCACTAGATCCGCCTGGGCTAGCCCAGCCCTAGCCAGACTACCCCGTAGCCCCGCCCCGCCCTAGCCCTCTCTCTCCCAAGTTAGCCCTAGCCCTAGCCTAAGGCCCATGGCTGGGGGGCGGGGCTGATTAAAGCGCTGACACAAACAGCCGCTGGAGCTTATCATAACCGCTATCATCTGCATTAAAGTAAGGTCGGCAGGGGAGTTTTCGTAAGGGTCCATATAGACTAGTTACATACTCATATATACCCGAAAATATTCGATAATCGTATGAGAACACGCTACACTTAGTATGGGCCACCCCAACGCTAAGGCTACCCCAATGTCAATTTTTTCAATTATTCTATCTACCTACCCATATACATATTTATTTAAAACTACTATAGTCTATTTTAATCTTTTTAATTACTTTAATCTTAATTAACTTTCTAACTCTTTATATAGTAGCCTTAAACTACTTAATATTCTTATTTCTAAATATATTATATACCCGAGACTCTTTAATATTTACTCACTCTAAAGCTCTTAAAGTTCTTTTAATTTTTATTTTCTTACGTGTAATAATTTAAGACCGAGTCTAATAAGAATAATAATATCTCTCTTCTAAACTATCGTATTAATTTTACTTTTCGAGTTACTCGAGCTATTATAGCTCGTTAAATAATATCTAATTCTCGCTTAATAAGTAGATCTAAAAAAAAATTATAACTTTTATAAATATCGAACGATAATAAGATATTCTCGATCTATCGAGCCGTTATATATATTAATAAAGAATCTATTTTTTAGAATCTATAAGCGCGTAAGAGTAGCTATCTTTAAGAGAGATCTTATTATAGCGATATAGAAGCTAATTATAAAATACGTTAAATTAAGTAATTAATCGAGTAATTTTAAGCTTTATTTCGGAGGCAATAGAGACTAAGGTCTGTTGAATACGTTCTTAAATAACGATATATAAGTTAGATATCGTTATGATTATAGTAGATAGATAGAGAATAGATGAGTTAAAAAATTAAGAAAATTGATATTGAAGTGGCCTTAGCGTTGAGGTAACCCATACTAAGTATAGCGTATTCCCATACGATTATCTAATACTCGTTTCCACCTCTATTTATACGTTACCCTCATTTACACGCTCTTAAATCCGATAAATCCGACATAGATAGCTACCACTACTATGGCTATTACTATTACTCATTTAAATAGTCTACTATCACAGTCTATTATAATAGTTAATACTACGATATTATAGTCGTTATCTATAGATCTAGTATTATAGATATTATCTCGAACTAGCTATTTTTTAAGATACGAAGAGAGATAGAAGTTCTATTAGAAAAAAGGCTACTATATCTCTTATATTAGATCTATTAATATTA